GCATTAACAATGAGTGTTAACTGTCATTATAGTAATAATAATGAAACTTGCTGCGGCTGATCATGATGATAATTGGATTGGTGATACTGAGAGCAATGCTGAATTTGATTATTCTTTCTGTTATCATCATTTATTTCATCATCATCACTATTATCGTTATTATTATTGTTATCATTATTATTATTATTATTATTATTATTATTATTATTATTATTATTATTATCATTATTGTTATTATCATTATTAATCATTATCATTATTATTATTGTTATTATTATTATTGTTATTACCATTATTATTATAATTATTATTATCAATATTATCATCATTATCATTATTCTTACTTTCATTACTACTGTCATTATTATTATTATCATAACCTCCTCCAAGGAATTTACGTGTTTGGTTGCGTTGGTTTGTTTGTTTGTTCCTTGGCTGGCAGGATGACTCACTAAGTTACCAATAGATTTTTACCCGAGGTGGGAGGAGGGAGAGAGAGAGAGATGGAGAGTGGGAGGAGGATGGGAGAGAGAGGGAGATGGGAGATGGGAGAGGAGGAGAGAGAGAGAGAGAGATGGAAGAGTGGGAGGAAGAGGAGAGAGAGAGAGAGGGAGAGAGTGGGGAGGAAGGTGGAGAGAAAGAAGAGGAAAGGAGAGAGAGAGAGGAAGGTGAGAGAGAGAGTGGGAGGAGGGAGGGAGAGTTGAGAGAGAGAGAGAGAAGGGTTTTCTTCCAAGATTTTTTTTTTTTTTTTTTTTTTTTTTTTTTTTTTTTACTCAAGGATTGCAATGGAGCCCGACATCAAATACTTAAAGGCTGACAGATGTCACCTGTGTACTTGAGAAAATGGATTTTGATATAATTCTTTGTGTGAATATGTTTATTGATTCTAGTTAAACTTATTAACATTTATTGTTATATTTCATTGTCATTATTATTATTTTATCATTATATTATTATTTTTATTATTATTTATTATTATTATTATTATTATTATTATTATTATTATTATTATCATTATTATTATTATCATTATTATTATTATTATTATTATTATTATTATTATTATTATTATTATTATTGTAATTATTATCATTATCATTATTATTATTATCATTATCATCATGATTATTATCATCATCATCATCATCATTATCAATATCATTATTGTTATCATTATCGTTGCCAACATTATTACTGTTATTATCATTATCATTACTATTGCTATTATCATGATTATTACTATTGATATATTCAATAGTATTATCATCATCATTATCATCATTACTGTTATTATCATTGTTATTATCATCATCGTTTATTATTATCATTCTTAAAATTTTCATTGCCATTATTATTACTGTTATTATGATTATCATTATCCTCCTCCTCATCATCATTATCATTGTCATTGTCATGTTATCATCAGTAATTATATCTGCTACCATTATTATCAATGCTGCTATTATCATTATCACCATAATTATCATCATCACAATCATTATCACTATCATCATCATTACTAGTACTAGTATTGTTGTTTTCATAATTATTATTTTTCATTATTGTTATTATCGTTACTACTGTTATTATTATTGTTATCAATTATTATTATTATTTTATAATTATCTTTAAATCATTTTTATACTACTTCATTGTTATTGTTGTTCTCATCATTTTCATTATCAATTGATATTATCATTATTATTTATTATTATTATTATTATTATTATTATTATTATTATCATCATTATTAAGATAATGATAGACAATTATCATGACAATGATCATCATTATTATTATTATCATCATCATCATTATAATAATAATGATAATAATAATAATAATAATGATAATAATGATAATGATAATGATAATAATAATAATAATAATAATAATAATATAATAATAATAATAATAATAATAATAATAATAAATAATAATAATAATAATAATAATAATAATAATAATGATAATAATAATAATAATAATAATAATAATAATAATAATAATAATAATAATAATAATAATAATAATAATAATAATAATAATAATAATAATAATAATAATAATAATAATAATAATAATAATAATGGTAATAATGATTATCATCATAATAATGAAAATGATAATGAGAATAGCAATGATCATCATTATAATGATAATAATAGTAATAATGATAACAATAGCAGTATTAATTATTATCATTATCATCATTATTATTATTACTGTTTTACTATTTTTACTACTATTATCATTATTATTGTCATCATCATAATTGCTATCATTATCATTATCTTCCTTATTGTCGTGACCATTATTAACATTATCATTATAACTACTATCATTACTATTATTATCATCATTACTATTATCATTATTATCATTGTTATTATCATTATCATTATTATCACTATTATAATTCTTTTACTAATCATTAGTATTGCTATCATCATTATCATCATCATCATCATTATCATTATTATCATTATCATCAATATTATAATTATTTTTTCATTATTGTTATTACTATTATAATTGCTGCCATTATTATTATCATTATCATTATTACTGTTATCCTCATTGTTATCACCATCATTACAGGTTCTAATATCATCATTATTACTATTATAATTATCATTAATAATAATACGAACGATATTTTTCTAACAGCAGACCCAGAAAAGACAGAAATATGTAAAGTTACTACAGCTGTAGATCTATTGTTTGTTCTGACGTGTGCTAGTCCGCCACACATGTAAAACCCTATAACAATTAAACGAACATGTGTTATACGAGAAAGACCAAGTTGTGAAGGCGAAGGACATATCACTGTGGTTGTAGTTTTGTTCATCATGTTTTTCACATTCTCTTGTATAATGTATGGCTGTGGTACGAGTGAGTATCACTGCTTACTAAATGATACATTGTTATAGACAAAAAACTTGGATTATAGACCTCTATATATACATACGTGCAGAAAATCTTTGAAATTATGATCATATACTCATTTGTATTGATATGAACATTGCACATGTACATTGGTACTCCAAGTTACTGGTAAGAGCAAGAGGCCTATTAACAGTTTACACCTAAACAGTAATAGCAATATATAGTATTTAACAGATAACTTACAAACGCATTATATAATACAGTTTGTTGCCAGATTATTGCAGTCACCCATCAAATCCTACAACGTTTTCTCTAAAGTTTTTTTTTCTAAATATTTTTGACTGGTTATCATAAATTATATATCATTCCAATTATTTGTTTTGAGAGAAATAATATATATATTCGGTTATAATTTTAGTGTAAAAAATGAATCTAGATGGTGAATCAAAATTCAAAAAGAAAAACATTTACATTCGTAGTCTCTTCGTCAAACGTTGCCAAAGCGACTTCGCGAAAAACCCTTGAGTCTGTAAATGAAGATGGTTATTGATGAGATGTAAAAGTGTTATTAATGGTAGTTGTAATAGTAGTAGTAGTAGTACTAGTAATAGCATGTAATAAGTAGTAGTAGTAGTAATAGTAGTAGTAGCAGTAATAGTAGTAGTAGTAGTAGTAGTAATACCAATATCAGTTGTAGTAGTAGTAATAATAATAGTAGTAATAGTAGTAATAGTAGTAGTAGCGGTGGTGGTGGTAGAAATAGTAGCAACACGAGTAGTAGTAGTACAAGTAGTGCTGGAGTTAGTAGTAGTGGAAATAGAAGTAGTAGTAGTAATAGCAGTGCCAGTAGGGGCGGCGGCAGTAGTAGCAGCAGAAGTAGGAGTAGTAGTAGTAGTAGAGGTAGCAGTAGCAGTAGTAGTGGTAATAGTAATAGTAGTAGTAGTAGTAGGAGTGGTAGTAATATATGTAATAGCAGCAATGGTTGTAAAAAGCAGTAGCAACAACAGCATGGTGAAAACAGTGATAATGATAATAATAACATTATGGTTTTAGAATGCTGATAATAGCAGTGAAAAAGAAAATGCGAAATATGACAATAGCAATAATAACGATGATATCTATGATTATGATAACAATAATAATGAAAATAATAATGGTGATAATATCATTATCAGTAATGACAATTATGGCAACAATGATTAAGATAATAATGATAATGATAATGATAATGATAATGATAATGATAATTACAACAATAGTATCAGTAATAATAATAATAATAATAATAATAATAATAATAATAATAATAATAATAATAGTAATGATAATAATAATAATAATAATAATAAAATAATAATATGATAATAATGATAATAATAATAAATAATAATAATAATAATAATAATAATAATAATAATAATAATAATAATAATAATAATAATAATAATAATAATAATAATAATAATAATGATGATAATAAGAATATTAATAATTATAATAATAACAACAATAATGATAATAATAATGATCATAATATGACGATAATGATAATGATAATAATGATAATAATGATACTAATAACGATGATGGTAACAACAAACTCATGATGATGATGATAATAATAATAAGAGTAATAATGATGTTAAAAATAAAAACACTAATAATGATAATGATAACAGTATTAATAGTAGCAATGATGATGATAATAATAATAATGATAATATAATAATAAATAATAATAATAATAATAATATAATAATAAATAATAATAATAATAATAATAATAATAATAATAATAATAATAATAATAATAATAATAATAATAATAATAATAATAATAATAATAATAATAATGATGATAATGATAATGATATTGATAATAACAATCGTAATAGAAATAATGATAATATTAAAAGTGATAATTACAATAATGATAAATATAATAATGATATGATAATAATAATAACAATAATGATAATAGTAATGATAATAGTGATAATGATAATATCAGTAATTAAAATTATCATAATAATCATAATTCATGATGATCATAGTAGAGATTTAAAGATTTGAAAAATACTTTAGTAAAAAAATTATAAGGGTTCGCCATCACTGTATTTTGGCATCACTGTTCGAGGTAAACACGGTGTCGGCGAAGAGAGCAAAACAAAAGTGCGAATTTCTTCAAGAGAATATTCTTCTGAAATAACTGTGAGAAGAAGAAAATGGCCTGGCGAGGAGTATTAGGACTGAGGTTACTGGGAAGTGCTTCGAGGTCTATCACGAGAAGCTCAGTAAACCCCGAATTAATTAGTGTTGCCGGGTCTGCTCCTCCGTCTCGTCACATAGCTGTTTCGTCTTCATTGTTTGTGAAAGAGAGTAAGTTGAAATTTTGCGACAAGTTTGTTATTGTTTGATGATGGGATAGATATTCAAATGCTAATTGTTATTTTTGTTGAAGATGTATTCTTGGTAGGTATCTGAATTCCACTTTCAGCGAAGGTATAAGTTGTCTAAAGTATAGATGTTTCGTAACCAATTTGAATTGATTGCATTTTTCGACAGTGAAATTGAGTATTAAGAAGCCATCACTCACTATGTAAATAGTACATAGGGACGATAGATCAGTGTATTCAAAAATATTTTTCTTCAAATAAGGGTGTTATACAATGCATGTCACAATAGACCTATTCTGTGTGACGTCACGAGTCGGAGTCACCGTCCCACTTGGTAAAAAAAAAACATTGCTCACAGATGCCTCGCTATCAGCTTAAGTGAAAATGGTTTATGACTGCTTAGATTCTTTAAAGATAACGAAGTGAAAACTATATGAAGCAAAACTAGAAGCTGTGCAGCTAAAAAAGTGCCGTCTGTCTGCCGAAATTGGGATCGATGATCCTTAGAAATATTGAATATCCCGATATCTAAGTATTTGATCAACACACCAGGCAACAAAATTCATTTTATGATAATATAATTTGTTACAGTTATCAATGATTTTTAGTTATATATGTTATTTTTCTCTGAAATCAGTGCCATTACCTAACATCACTTTTCTTCCTATTTACTAGGTGTTTATACAAAGGAGAGAATGAAGTCACTTAAGGCCTATATGCGCACAATGCATTCTTCTTTCTCCTCAGTAATTTGAGACAGCCCCTTTTCAGTTGTTTCATTTGCTTGACTATATGACATTTCAGACACAGAAGCAACAGGAAACTTTGGTTTCTTCTGAATGCTTTGTATCACCTTAACTAGGCTTCTTTTCTTCTTTTTTTAACAGTATGACTGCTTTCTTTTCATCTAAAGGGCAGTGCTTGGGATAAAGTCTGGGTGTGTTGGAGCCAAGGATAGTTTGCCAGTAAATTGAAATTATGATAAATCAATTTATTACAGAAAAATGTAAAATTGCTATTGTACTTTTTGAAGTGTATAACTGCTGCAAAAACCTAATGTTGACAATGTTGACCTTGTTGTTGATAGTGTAGATGGATAGAGTTTGAAAGTGATTATTTGTCTCTAGAATTTGAAAAAAGTGTAAAATATTAATATGTAATAAAATGTACTGACAAATTGTGAAAATAGTTTCCACCAGGCCCCCAAACACTCCCATCAGCATTCAAGCTTTTCATGGCCTGTACTCATTGCTTCCATTTGTCAGGTTTCTTTTCACTATCTGGGAATATATGAAAGGTTAAACCTTTCTTTCCTATCATGTTGTGGTTCGAACAACCAACGGCACCACAGCTCCTCGGCATTTTCACACTAAGAAACTAAATTCTCAGAAAAATTTGGCGACTTTAAGCAAAGCACAGTGAGTTATCGAACAAATGAGGGTTTGTTTTCACCAAGTGCTCGTTGCTAGGGGTGGCAACTGTATGATATTGATAGGTAATTTTATTGTCCTTTATTGATGTTGTCAGAGTGACGGGGGAAGATAGAGGGAGATGGACACCGCTGTCTTATAAAGCATAAAAATAGGGTAAGAGAAAACATAGTAAGTGGCCTCATGTTTGCCAGTAAATGACAAAAATGTCTACTGCACCATCACACAGCCAGAGTTCTTATTGTCTGTTTTCTATAAGTTGTCACGAAGTGCTAATAAATGTCTAGTACATAAATAGCAAGTAGGAAAGGTTATAGGTTAAGTTTTCAGGTTCGCATGGTGTCCTGATTTTGGGACTTTGTCTCTGGAGGGTGTGTCGCTCTCGGTAACAATTACCTACCTGTATACTGCACGCCATGGATTGGCCCCCTTCTTACATGCACGTGCAAGCTGTTTTTAAAATTCCAAAAATGCATGGGCTGTTATTGCACGACTATTGTTTTACATTATGCAACATTAGTGATGGATGATACATTTCTTATACATCGTTTCTACACTTTTAAAATGGGTTGTCATTGATGGCACAAGCTAGTATGGTTCAGTTTAATTGATGAATCTTTTAGGTCTGCAGAAATTGAGCCAATCCACGCTGCAGGGTAAACATGCACTTTGACAACTTTGCATGGCCAACAAATAAGAAAGGGAGAACTGTGCGGTGTAAACAGAATAGTGTACAGCTTTGCTACAAAGATTCATGTCTGAATAAGCGCAAGCGAGGTCCTAAAAGATTTGATAAATGTACTGAACCATAATAGGTTGTATCATCAATGACAACCTATTTTAATAGTGTAGAAGTTATGTATAGATAATATATCATCCATCACTAATGTTACAGAATGCAAATTAATAGTCGTGCAACAACAAATCGCGCATTTTTGGAATTGAAAATTTAACTGCACTAGTTATGAGTTTTGAAAAGAACTTGCCCATGCATTGTAAGGTTTCTAGTTGAACCCAAGGGGAGGGTTGATGTGGGTTCTGCCCTCCAGCACCCCCTGGCAAACTTTGTCTTCACCTTGATATACACAGCAAGATAGAGCTGAAACTAGGGAATACAAAGTGTAGGTTACTTAGGAAAGGATATGCAACAGTAGTCTGATTGTCTTAGAGGTTGGGTTATATTGAAATGCTCTGTTTTGTTTTTTGAAAAATACAGGGGCGTACGGTATAGCCTATATAACCTACTGTAAATTGGAGAAGGCTAACTTCAAATATGAAACCGTGACCATACTGAATGCCAGTGGATGTTTCAACAGGTGCAAAATTTGAAACAGAAAAAATTATTATGCATCAAAAAAAGAAGCACTTCAAGTCTGTCAAGTCTGTCAAGTATCCCTGGAGATCCTGATTTTGTTTGAAATACTGTATTTTGTTCTTTGAAATGGGAAGAAGTTAAGTCTAGCCCACCCTGTATACACTATGCTGCAGTATATATATATTTTTTCATTGTTATTATTATTGAGAGGCTGTTTCTTGTTAATGAATGAAGCCAGGAGTAAACATGCACACAAAATAGCATAGCCTACATAATGTAAAGCAGGAACTACCACACATGATGCAAAGATGTAATCTTGGGTTGAGATATGGTCTACCATGACATGATTGGATGTAATCCAGTCATCATTATGGTACTTCATCTATTATTCTTACTTACAAGGAAATAACCAGAGCACAGAAATACATATTTTCCTAGGGTATATTGTTAATATACTTCACTAATTGGACATAGTTTTCCCAGTTTTGTTTTTCCTCTCAGTAAATACAAGGAATCACAGACCTTATGTTTCTAATGTATTATGGTTTCTATTATTAGTGGTGCTACTACTTGGTATCTTGAAACTAAATGAAAATATTTCACATAGTTTCTTATATGAATATTAGCTTGTTTTCATCATAAAGAAAAGGCAATTGCAGAATAAAAAGAGTAAAATAGCATGGTTAAGGGGATTTGAACAGAACGCAAGAAATTTTAAATAACAATAAAATAATCTACTTCATAAGTTACTTCAATTTTAAAAGTATTTAAAAAGCACATAGCTGTGCTTTCAGTGATTAGAAAAATGCAATGTATAAAATCTAAGATATAAGATGATTTCGTGTGTTGCTGATTATCTATCATAACAAAAAATTGTTGACTTGGTATTTTCTAAGCGGATGCTTTCCCACTGAAAATATTTTTTATATTCACATTCTGCTAAAAATTTGATTAGCCTGTCTTGAACATGAGGCACCAAGTAATGTTTATAAGTAGCCAACAGTATAACTATTGCAGTGTTAAATGTAGAAATGATAATAGTAGAATATTCAGTGTTTTTTTTCCAACTAAGCATTGCTTATAATTAGTGGTACTAGTAGTTTTGGATCAGAAGACCTAAGTGAAGATTTCTTTTGGCATTGTTATAGATGTAGTCCTTGCACCTAAAGCTGATTATGATTAATTTTGTGTTTTTTTCCAGTTATTATTGACACATCAGATAAACAGACAACAATTGAGGGTGTTTACAAAGAGTCAGATAGAACTGAACTGCTTGTCAAGACTGAGCATACTGAATGTGGTTCTTGTCCTCTCTGTGCCCTTCAACTGAACCTAAAGCATACTGTAAGTTTTGATATTTGATTCATATTTATATTAGAAATATGATTTATTTTAATGAAACTAATTTATGTAAAGCTAGTATGTAAGAACTAAAACATGGATTTAGATTAGTATCACCATTCACTATTACAGGAAGCAATATTGTATGTAAAATTCAATAAATAATGATTGATAAATTGTAATGCTTTACATTCCTAATGTATTAGTACACTTATGCAGTTATTTAAGTTAATTCTTTAGTTAACTTCATGGTTTCATCTATCTCTTTGTCCACAGGATGTTTTGGTTTTGTCCCAGTTCTTGCGCTCAGATGGATGCATGTTGCCGAAACGAATCACTGGCTTATGTAATCCCCAGCAGAAGAAAGTGACCCAGTTAGTTGCCATGTCACAAAAAGCAGGTAAGGACAGAGTTGCAGTGCAAGGTTGTGTATTTAGCTGATATTCTGTTTGGGATTAATTTTTTTTTTTCGTTCATGTTTTTGTTATTTTTAAAGAATTTTGTTTTAATTTTGTAAGATTATTTTTGAAGCTATTTTGAGAGTGGACTTACATTTTGCTTTGTCATTTTATACCAGTAATGATTTTTTTTTTCTTATCCTTTGTGCTGGGATGGCATAACATACATACCATAACCACTATGATATTAATTTATTGATTATGCTTACACATAGATTGCTCCACAAGTACTTAGTCACTATTGAGTCAGTTACGTGTCTTATTAATTCACCTGTTTACCCATTTCTTTGATTTTCAGAAAGATTCTTTTGGATTTTTAATTTTTATTAATATTTTAATATTTTAATAATCATAATATCTATGATAGTAATTAGCCAAGAATACCAATTGTAATAGCAACTCAACAATTCAGGTTATGGCAAAATCTGGTGAAGATACTTTAGGGTGTTAATTAACTCCCTGGTGGCTGAGGACTTGTAGAGCCATGTGTGTTAAGCAAAATTCACAGTGGACAGTGCATATACCCATGTACAAAGAATTCATTATTTTTTGCTTATTACTATTTCTTTTAACTGTTTTATAGCTAGACAAAGAAAGACAAGTAAAACTCTAGTGAATTGAAATAGTGTTCTATTCTTGGCCACTGATATGCTCCTTGATTTAGAAATCATCATAATGACTTTGATGATTTGTTGACATTGCGAGTTGTGTACATACATTGCCCGTGCCTGGGTTGTTTATTAATTCTTTTTGTACATAGATGGCTTCATAAGTGCTTCATTTTCAAGGAGTCAATTACCATGATTACCTGATCTCATTTTTTATTCCATTTGAATTTTCAGAAATAAAGGGTTAAATGTTTTCATAACATTTTCATAAATGATATACTAATAATGATAAAAACATAACATAAACTCACTGAATGCAGCTGCCATCTATTCTTGCTTTAACAGACGGGGCCCAAGTGCTGGGTTGCAATTGTCATTGTTATGTGTGCTCAACCTGCTACATGTGTGTGATGAACAGTTGGTCACTTATTTTGCTCAGTTACAAAGGTGATAGAGTCCCTGAAAGTAGACTAAGTCTCTTTATAGCTTCATATTCCCACAAATTAGTTAAAAGCATAGGGGATGGGATAGATGCACACTTCACATACTCCTAATTTTTCACTCGAGCTTCTGACTACATGTGTTGACTGTTCTGCAGTTCACTGCAGTGCAGGAAAAAACAGTTGCCATTGAGTTGATAAAAGTAATAACAGTAATTAAGATAAAACTTTTTTCTTGAAAGTTCAAGGATGGTATCAGTGGGTAAGATCAGGTTAGCCAATAATTGACTCCTTGGTGACTAAGGGCCGTATTTTAAAACTCTACTGCCTACATTGGTGCTGTTGTTCGCCTAGTTTTGTATTTTAAACAACCTAGCTTTGAATATCTGGGACTCTGACACCCTGAACTGGTTTTATACCACCTAGATGATGGTAGAGCACCAGCATGAATGTGTCTTTCATGAAGGCATTCGACAGTTTTCTTCTTTACTGTTAAGCTTTCAGTCAACATATATTTTTTTTCATTATAAGTACAATGGCGCAGAAAATTTGAGTTGTATTTGTATGAATATTTAGTAGTTGTTTTAAAATCAGAATATTTTTAGGACACTACATTTTGGTACTTCCCAACACTTCTCACCTTACTTGGGTCCCCTTATTTCACACTATTTTTTATTAATTTGTTGAAGTTGAAGCAACTGGAATTTGCACATTTATAAAACACATTCCATGACATAAAAAGAATGCTGATGATATGTACAGATTGCAAATATTTTGTGTTTTGCTAGTCTGGGAATAGTCAAAATATTACTAGCTTATCACTCTTATGAAACTGATGTATGCATGTTTCTATGTCTTACGCATGCTCACACACACAAGTAGGCACTCACACATGCACGCTCACGCACACATGCACTCGCATGCCACACATGCACGCACGCATGCTCACGCACACACATGCACACACGCACACGCACGCACGCACGCATGCGTGCACCCACGTCACGCACGTGGACACCAATAGCCCCCCATCCCTATTACTGTGAGGTCAAAGGCTACAGGAAGACTGCAATTGAAATTTACAGATAATTTTACATTATCTGAGAAGTTTGTCAGATAATAGAGTGATGTCATGCCTGGATGATGTTACGGTCCTGTCATGGAAATATCTGGGTTGAGGGCAGAGTGACGTGAACATGTCATTGGACAAAATGGCTGCGGGTTGGGTGACGCGAACTTGCCATCATGAGGGAAGGGCAGGGTAAAGACTCACCATAAATGTACAAACCTCTTGGAATGTGATTTGATAATTTTGATAGCATTATTCCTATCAATAAATGAATGTGGAATGTAACAGTTTAAAGCCATGACTGAAAGAGAGCTGGCTCCAGGAAGGACGCCATTTCCATGCTGCACACTGTATTTCTGGCTGCTGTGACTGGCGGCACAGGTTGTGTGACAGAAAATTGAAAATTACAAAAAAATAAAATGTATGATACAGGAAGACAATTTTTTTTTTTTTCTTGCACTGAGTTATTTATTATATAGAGAGATAATATAGAGTCTGTGCAAGGAAAATAAGCTCTTGCCATCTGGATAAAGCAAATCAAAAGACAAATATGAACTGGAAAATGGCAAAAAAGCTTAAAAAGTTTACACAAAATAACTTTGCAAAGGGGAGGCACAGAGTCTTGTTACCTCTCATGGATGTTCACACATACCTGGCCTTCGCGCCACATGCCTGGGATGTTGGTTACATACATAACCCTTTGCCCATATTTTTGACACCGTGATTTCCATGATGCAACTGGATCCAAGGGGTTAAAGAAAGATTACTGCAAGATGCAAGCACTTTCTGTTAGTATGTCTATTTCCTGATAACAGAGCCATTCAAACAAACAGCCAAAAATATCAGATTATTTCTAATTTTCCTGGTGTAATAGGAATTCAAAAGAAAAGATTATTTTTCTTTTATAGAAAATAACAGGATATTTGTTTGTGGTCCTATTCTGGTGTTATGATATATGTTGTTTGTGCATGGCCTTTGTAAAACAGCAGAATTTTGAAAACCTTGATTGCTGCACAAAATTAGATTAAGCTCAGTACATGGGATGTTAGCTCTTGGACTTCATATATCTTATGGCTTCATATCTCATGATTACTCTAAGCAACCTTACTAGAGACTCTGAACTAAGATATGCAGTTTATTCAAGCAGCATGGATTTAATAGAGAGGGCATTTGGTCTGTGACAAAGGAAATTCATTTTTGGAGATTTACACATCAAACTATAAGAAAATAGGATTTTATTACTACAAAAGAACTTGAAAATGGATATTGCATTGCAAGCAACTATCGATTATAGGGCATATGCATAAACTTTATTGGAAAGTGGCAAAATGAATTCCATAAAGATAAAAAAGGATGAGTAGAATATGATACAGCATTCTCTTTTTCAACCTATGCTTTACCTGGGCTGCATTTGAAACTCCAGGGGCATCACCAGTGCATATTGATCACATTTCCAATCCTGTGTTCAAAGTCTGCGTTTCAATTATTTTAGTGCTTGCTCAATATCTTGCTCTGTCTCTCACTCTCTTTCTCAGTTTAATGTTTCTCATTCTCATTTTGTCTCTCCCTCTTTCTATCTCTCTGTCTTGGTCTCGCTCTTTTTCAGTTCTCATTCTCTCTTTCTCTGTACTTCAGTCTTAGTCTCAGTGTCTAGTTTTATCTCTCTGTCATTCACTCTGTTTATCTCCGTGTTTCTCTTGGGTGAAGTGAGCCTTACTTTGGCTAATTTGGTGGTCTCTGGCTCTCTCTCTCTCTTGGATGTAGTGAGGCAGAACTTTGGCCAATTCAATGGTTTGTATTTATAAATTTTAGATATTAGTTACAATAGACCTTATAGAATGGTAAAAGTAAGATCAACAAAGGTACATGTAGAATGTTACTTCACAGAGACCCTAGTGTAATGGCTATTATTACTAGGATAGCTGAAGAGCATCATTCAATTTTTTTTAAGTTGATATTATAGGTAATACGTCATGATCATGATTTTTAAAGATAACAGTTATAAGAATAGGTAAACTTTTGTATGGCACTTGAGCAATGCTCTTTATAGATTAGAATTTTTCTTATGTAAGGTCTGCAATGGAAGATTGACAAATTAATTTTCACTTTTTGTTCAATTTACTCAAATAAATGGTTTAATATTACAACTAATGCATCATGTTATAGTTGAGTATTAAGATATTCTTATCTTGATATGAAAGCACCAAAAAAAAAAAGAAGTGTAGCTTAGGCCCTATTCTTTCTCATCAAAATGTGCTGGATGAGTTTTAGTGGGAGAATGTTGAAAGCATAGCTAGTCACAGCATTTAGACATTATAATGTAATGTTACAGTTAAAAAACAATGAGCTCACATGAACTTTATCAATTGGGTTTATACCTAGATGGCTCCGAAAATATTTAGTCATCGAGGAGTCAGTTACCAGTACTCCCCATCTCACTGATTTATCTTTGTCCGTGGTTTTTAGATATTTTTTTTCTTTAATTCTTAGTGGTATTTTCATAATACCCATAGTGATAATTATGTCAGTCATAATGAAAACAACAGTATTAAGATTATTAGCATCAGAAAAAAGTCATGGAATGAGGAAATTAGGTGACATCATGTCAGGCCTACTAATTTTTTCCTTGGTGGCTGAGCACTTGTAACATGTATGTATTATTATTTGTACAAAGTATGAATATTATCCTTTCACCTTTAATTGAAAGAAAAAAAACAACAACTTTAGATTTGTATTTTATTGCACTGCCTATAATAATAGAAATAAAGCAGCTGCAAAATTGCTAAGGACAGTACAGTAGTTAAAGGATATAATTTAATGACATTTATCACTGTAATGTATGGATGTGGAAGTGTAGCTAATTTGACATAAAGATTGTGATAATTTTTGTATTTATTCACATAAGGTAATTAACAACACTAAAAATTTGGGTTTCAGAGGATTGCTTTTGATGATTGAAATCTTTAGCAGCAATTTATGGTTGTTATTAAGGTTCAAAGAATGTAAGGTTATGTCATTGGTTGATGCTGTGCCAATTCCCATGTAATGTAATTACCATGTGGGTATATTCAGCATTGGGTCCTTAGATATCATGTGGTTGTATATATAGGAATTTTTGGCTTGAATATATGCTTTTCTTTGTTAACTCTGGTATACTCTAAATGCACAGTAAGCATCACAGTAGTTTATAAATGCAAAAATTATTTGTATCAGTGAAGCAGACCTTTTCTGAAGTTTTAAGTATTATGAGATTATTGCAAGGTTATCATTCATATTTCCTATTGGGAAATGACTATTGTTATCAGGATGAAGTGGATAGAGAAGATGATTTAAAGGAATATATATATATTTTTTATACCAAATGTTCTTTTAGATGAACCATATTCATGTTGACAAATGTGGAAAGGTAAGAATGAGAACGAATATCTTCACAATACAAGAGATGTATTTAACCGGTTTTGATTATATCTTCGTCAGAAATACATGTATTTCTGACAAAGATATATTCGAAACCGGTTAAATGCATCTCTTGTATTGTGAAGATATTCGTTCTCATTCTTACCTTTCCACATTCTTTTGGATATAAGAAAGCTGGTGTCATATCACTCAAGAGTCTGTTGTGGTTAGTTGGGTTCTTGTGCCTTGTTGGTGATGTTTATAGAAGATAGATATTACAGATTTGTAGCATATTTTATTTATCACGGTGTATTAAAGTCTTGTGAATGCTGTAGCTAATTATATCAGTCATAATATATATATTTTTTTCCAGGATTGATGCCCAACCTCGCCCCCTCTTGGAGTAAGAAGGATCCCAAGAAACGTTTTGGATCCAGGAAACTCAACAGATATTTTGATGAGAAAACAATAAAGATTAAAATATAAGATAATATGGGTTCTCTGAATCTGTGTAATTTTTATCTTCAGATGTAAAATCTACATATGTAATTAAAAAGATGTATTCAAATGTAAATAAAATGAGTGTTTGGATAA